ACAAGTTTAGTTTTTTCCAAAAGCTAAGAAATGCCGCCAGTGAAATATTTCACCATCTAGTGTGATGAATGATTTCTTCTTAATCCAACGACGAAAGTCTAGACCAGTACCCCTAAAGGAATGGGCCTCAACTCTGTAAACTCTTGAGAATTGGCAATTAAGAGAACATTCTTTGACCAAAATATTATTTTATGACAGTATTACATGAACAGGGGAAACGACATCTGAATGTTACAAGAATGAATTGAGCTGCATTAATGCAACCCTCTCCATTTCTAATGTGGGGGGGGGGGGGGCTACAACTCCTCAAGATTTCCGTAAGTGTAAGTGCAGGAGTAATTCACTATCGCACAGATTTCAGCTCAAATTATTAGAAAGTCACTTTTTATTAGCTTTCTAAATCTAGCTGAGTTCAAAAAATCTAGTTATGCAAGACATAAAGTGATTTTATGTATGTTAAACTCAAATCCTCTATCGTTGCGAAAGTGTTTGCTTATTAACAGGACTTACCATGTCTGCTAATCAATCAAGATTTTTTCCCAGTATAATCACAATTTTTGCCCACTCGATGGATCAAATTTTGTAAGTCACCGAATTCGGCGATTGTGTTTACATTTCTTCCTGTTCCATTTTTTGTTTTTGTTTGTTTGTTTGTTTGTTTGTTTGTTTTTTTTTTGGTTCATTTTTTATAAAACGTACAGTAACTGCGACAGATATGTAAGTAGATAATATTATTGATCCATTTAGAAGCCTATGATTGTGAGAAGGAAGCTTTTATCTACATACATGTATACATGTGCATTGCGCCAAGTCTTTAAAGTCAGTAGATGACTCTTTTGTGAGGGATTTTCACATATCTGAACATTACGTTTAACTCAAAAATTATTTTTAATTCTATCTCGTGAAATATATTTATCTTTTAAGAATAAAAAAATGAACTAATATGTAATTTTCTTTTTCCTGGAAAAAAATCAAGGACATCAATTTCTTTAATATTCTTCTATGGTCTGTTAACTAAAGATATATACACTAGTATATGGAAAATAAAATTTAAAATTATGCACACGTATCATTAACGTATTGGTCGAATTTTGGAATAAACTTTTGATTACACCTATATTTCAAAGAATGGGGGCGTACAAATCGAGAACAATTACCAGCTCTGAGGCAATATATTTCTCAGTTTTCAAAGTTCATGGTAAAGAATTATTAAAAAAAAAAAAAAAAAAAAAAAAAAAAAGAAACCATGACTGTTTTAAGTGAAAAAAATGAATCTATTGGAGCCTCACGGAAAAGTGATGTTAAAATCTATATCATGTTTTTTAACAAATGGAATGTAAACCCATTCTTTATGACTATCAGGTAATTTTGAAAAAAAAAGATATGCTTAAAAAACTCACTGACTCAAGTAAATTATAAGACTGCATGCGTAGCGTAGTGGTGATCACTTTTAACATATCAGGCCCTGGCCCGTTGGAAGCAATTTCACTTCAAAGGGGGGGGGGGGGCACAAACATTTTCAAGGAGAGGAGGGGCACTAAAACTACCAAACATTCCTTGCCAAGCAAATTCAATGACACGACCCACCCCCACCCCCGTGCCATCCCCGGTTCCTACGGCCATGAGGCCTCACTTCAAGCTTCGAAAATTTCTTAAATTGAATGTAAAAAATACATTATCAACATCATTTTGGGAAACTTTTCCATGAACTTTTAAAATTGAGAAATATCTTATCTCAGAGCAAGGAATACCTTTGTGTTGCACGTTCCGTCTGAGTACATGTAAACTATTGTAGAAATGTTTTGTTGTTTTTTTCAGACATTTTCAACATTCATTGAAGGAAATAATTACATGTGAAAGTTTCGTGGAGGTTTGAAAATTTTGAGTGGGCCATCTTTATTCAGTCAGGAGAGGACAAACAAGCTTTTTTTTTTTTTTTTTTTAAAATTCCTTTATTTTTTGTTAACCAAAGAGTATAACTGTTATAAATAACAGTTAAAGGGTAGTTTAAATCTTCTTCCTGGGTATTAAACAACCTTCTCTGCATTAATTTATGCACATTCATAAAGTGAATAAAAATATTATTCCACTGAGATCAGTAAATATTCTATATGGCAATTATTATTATCAGAAACCTGCGACATTTCCTTAATAAAAAAAATAATAGTAAACAAACCTTGGCAGTCTTCTTGTCTTAAATGAAATGTAAATATTAATATTGCAACAGGAAGAACAAGTTTCAAATGAATCTCTTGTAATTCATGTGCAAGGTTTCGCATTACACGTAGATACAGCAATTGCATGTTCTCAGATCTTTCCGGAAGAGCTGGGAAAATATCATGAATATATTTACATGTACATTACCGTATGCAAAAGTGTTATACAAAATGGAGTCGCTTCCTTATTAATATTGTTAGGAACTTTGTAAGTTGTATAGAACTTGTTTACAATCATTTTGATGTAATCAATAAAACATGTTCAGAACAATACTGTTTAATCAATAATCTCTTCTGTAGTACATTGATTCAATGATGCATCACTCCAGACTCTATACAGGTTTCCCTGCGTCTATTTTAATGTATCTATAGAAGGTTGTCATGAACGCCTTTATTACAATTTTGAAGTTGATTTCCCGCTTGTTAGAAAGGCCCTTGAAGTTGTGATTGGTAAACCAGCTAGCTGATTTATTTTTTTGAGTTATATTTAGAGTTCCTACAATGTATAGACGAGTATCGGAATACGAACTTATTTAAACGTAAGGGCCGGTACACACGGCAAGGCTTGCCTTATAAGTCATGGAACTTAAGTTCTAGCCTTACCGTGTGTACACCCTTAAGGAAGCTCTAAACACTAATCAAAAATGCTTTTTGGACTTTGAGAAAAATAAAACTATCCTACAAATAGTACTCTTTAGTGTGCAGTGTTTAGAGCTTCCTTAATACACGTTTTTTCAAGCCTTGCAAGTCTGACTTACGAATAGAGCACTGCTCTATTTCTTAAAACAAGACTTAGCTGACATGTTTCTCTCAACCAATGAAATCCACTCACCCAAATTTCAATCTATTTTGATCAAACACGTGGGTAGATTGAAGGGAACATAAGTATATTCGAATAAGATAATGAAAATATCCGCAAATGCTTTTGTTCAACCTGCTCTTTTTTTTCAGAAGTGTGAATGCACTGGTCTGTAAAATTATTTCAAAGTCCTAGCTAGTAATCTATACTTCTATTTTAATGATATGCACTGTTTACGGCTCAAAAAAAAAAGAAAAAAAAAAAGAAAAGAAAACGTGGGATTTATGGAAATGTTGTTTATAATCTTGTAAGTCTTGCCTTAGCGTGTGGACGCCAGAGCCGTATGTCCTGCAAAACGTAAGGTTTTAGACTTGTAAGGCAAGTCTTACCGTGTGTACCGGCCCTAACAGATGTTTTGCATCATTGATAAATTTTACAGCATGTTCATTTAGGCATAAAAGTTTTTTCATTGCTAAATTGATTTTTTTTTTAAATCGCGTGACAAGAAACTGATCAAGTCGGATAAATCTGTTTCAAAACAGTTATTTATGAAGGATAAAGATTTACTGGAGTGAGTGTGCAGAAAGTGTTGAAGATTAGTGGCACAATCATTGAAATTCATCTTATGTAGACCCTTGAGGTGACATAATTCGATCAATATCAGTTCAAACATTTTTGCAAAGTACTTGATTTATATATTTTCATCAAGATTAGTAAGTTTGAAGGGGGGAAATGACTCAGTTTAGATCTCACCAATGATGTCAATGACTGTATCTATAAAACAAAGGATATACTGTATGTGTACTTAAAAAAGCGGGCTTCATATTTTAGCGGCTTTGGCGCGGGCAACGATGCGCTAATTCATGAATACCGCTAAGAAATAATATATAAATAATACATACTGCACGGATGTGTGTAGCGCTAATTCATGACTACGCCAACAACTCCACACCCAGTGATTGCGTTGAATTTTGAATACGCCAATTTATGTACACGTACAGTACATGCAGTTCTTCATCTTTGCTATTTATTTTCTAATATGTATTTCCTTCATAAATGTTTTCGAATATGCGAGAGTATACTCAGAGAATGTTTTTTTTTTTTAGTTTTTGTGAGTTATTGGTGTGTAAATCACACAGATTTGTCACGTAGGCAAATTTTATGAAGCGCGCTAGCGCTTCATGAAAAATATGCCTACGTGCAAGTCTGTGTGATTTACACAACAATAATTCACACTAAACTTAACAACATTCCTTATATATACATTTTACAAGTTTAAAAGCACCAATAATATACTCGATCAATATTTGAATTTCTTGCTGCCCTAATCTTGCATTTTTATTTAGGTCTCTGTAGCCTCATTTTGACGTCACTTTAGCGCGAGTTTCACTGTCTATATTTCTACGCGTGAGTATACACAAAAATGACTTTCAAATCAATTTCACAGTTGGCTTAGTAGAAAAACACAGCAAATGTAAATATTGTTTATTGAAGAAAAGATTAGACAATTGGTGTCTTTACCATATTTTTTTTCTGCTTACGAAATGTGTTTACTGCAAAATAACATACATTTTCGTTGTTTAAACATGCAGAAAAGAGCTTGTTTTATAAATTGTTAGAAAATGCATGCACGAATGATCAGTTCGTATAAATATTGACGACAGAGTTTTTTAAATTTTAAAAGGGCAATTTTGTGCATCATTGTGACCTACATGTACATATAGTACGCAAAAAAAAAAACAAAAAAAAACAAAACAAAACAAAAAACAAAAAAAACACGATATCTTGAATTGTAAATCACACAAATCCACTCTGTTAACTCTGACCGAGGCTTTAAATATCCTGTATAAGCTTTAGATTTTATATTGATTTATAGGGAAAATTCATAAAGCAGTGTAATGAAGCTTGTATTACATGCATGGATAACGTGTGTGATAATACTGAACGTTATGAAACTAGGTATATGAAAACATTTTTCTACAAACCTTACGTCACAGGCAATTAAGGAATATAGGTTGTTTTGTGTCTCGCAGAAGTCTATTTGATTAGCTTCTTTCCATTTGTAAATAATGTTATACAAATCCAGAATCATACAATTCGGAATAACGACACTTCGATCATCAGAAAAACAATCCCCAAACACTCCTCAACATCAGCAATTTCCCTGCCAGTTTAAACCCCTAATTATCAGATACTTCATGCATTTGCTATGACGAGCTCAACATATGTTGCCCTACTTCACTTGATAATGCTGCAGCCTGATCGATTTTTTTTTTCTTGATTTGAATGATGAAAAAATTGAAAAAAAGTCATTTTCTCCTGCATTTTATTAGAATCAATTATCCCTTTCTTATATCATAAAAGAAGGAAATAATTATGAATATAAAAATAGGAATAGAAATATGAATATTTGCAATAAAAAAAGTATATTAAATAGCCTACCAATAAATCAATGAATATTTATAAACCGTTTTCCAGGTCAATGAATGCAGCAATAAATTTAAGATACATGTAGACAAATTTTCCATGTATTGCATCGTCGGATATCTTCAGGTGATCTCGTCTTCTACTCAAGTAAAGTTAAGTAAAAGACGAGATCACCAGTTGGTATCAGACGTTGCATATATTGAAACATTTTAGTGATAATTTAACTTTGACATTATCACAGGGACTGTCGAGATCTATAAAATCGAATACTGCTATCATTTCAGTTAGAATTATCTCCCTTGACATAAAACTGCTAATAAAAAATATTCTGGCTAAACTTAATTGACAAATTACCGTGTCTCACTAAAAATTTTACTCAATACTGAGTTAATAATAAGTTTTCGTATCTGAAACCTTTGATCGATACTGAATATGTCTGCAATGACAAAATCACATAACAAATATTTGGAGCAAATTACCTAAAATTCTTTTTCGTTTGTTCTTAAAAAAAAAAAAAACAACATTGCAGTAACACACCAATCCGTATTATCTTGGGTGATCTACAAACATATCAATTCTATCGTTATTATTAAGACTGTTTAAGGGTTTAAATATAAAATTACAGTGTAGTAACATTGGGTACTAAATAACATTTCGTTTCGTAATTTATTAAGAAAACCAACTTGCAATCATTTTGCACTTGGAATCTACCCAATTTGACGCCAAAACATGCTTGCAAGGACATGGTGATACTGGGTTTTGGTAGAATTTTTAAAGTCCAGTGGGCAGAAAAATGTTGGATGCATTTCAATCTGCGGTATCGAAAAGCACTGTGTCTCTTATTCAATGATGCAAATGAAGTTTAGTGCAGGATTAGTCATGATTTCCTGTGTGAGAAAAGAGCAGGTAATATGAGCCTAATTGTAAACTGCATTAGTCCGAGATATCTAACGTTTTCAAGGCTTTTTTCACGATTGTGATAATTCACGTGCCAGGAAAAAGTTTTCTTGGCACGTGAAATATATCAAAATCGTGAAAAAAAAGCCCGGAAAAGTCAGATATTCCGGATTAAGGATGCATATGAAGTATTTGATAGCAAGCCAACGGATAAAGCCATGTGAGATAAAGCGATATAAAAGTGCTTTTTACAGGAGTTACATATATAATTGCAAGTTTATCCACGCACAAACATGGAAGTGCATGTATTATGTAAAACACTGAAAAGAAATTCCGATTCTAAATTTAACATGCATGGGTTATCGATTTTGATAAATCAAAAAATTATACAATTCAGCAAGATTCTTCAATACGCGTGTTTCTTTGCTGCTTCATAATTAGAAATATGTGCTTGAACACTGTATAGTGATGTTGGAATGGCGCTGCCTTTGCGATGTCTTTACATGTATAACCAGCGCTCTCAAGTATAATTGCAGCTACGTTAGTATTGCATGCTCGAATCTATGGTAGGGCATTCTGGAAAAAAATACTGTAAATTTTCCCCGAATTTAAAAGATAGGAGCGAAATGTGATTCAGATTGCTAAAAAATAAAAATAAACAACAGTACCACACTAGACTATTTCAAAATAAGTGTTCAATGATTTTTCAAAACTCTTATATATATGCTTATTGTATTTTCGACCTCAGCATTAACAGAGATTAAAGGGAAAGTGATGTTATTTCCGATGTGAAGTCCATCGACTAGCTTTTATCATTCTGAAATGAGCCCCCCTCCCCCCCCCCCCAAAAAAAAAAGGTCTGCACTTCCTTTTTTTTAATAATAGATCGAATCAGTAAAATAGACGACTGCCTCAGAAATCTATAATTCTGTGCTTTTATGGTTCTAGCGCACAGCTCACCTATTTTTTGAGAAGAAATGTTTGTATATATTTACTGTTGATTTTTTTTTTAAATTCATAAAACACACGGATGTAGCAGGTAACAGAAGTTCAAAGATGCCAGGTTATCGAATGTAAAAAAAAATATTTTTGGCTGACTTTGGAACAATGATACATGCATTGTGTGAAACGAAAATATATTTTATTTGTCCTTGATAAAATAATTTTAAAAAATGAAGAATTTTCATGAATTGATATCATTCCTTCATTATATTATAATAATCATCTCAATTACACCCAAGAAAGCTTTCATATACAACTATAATCGAGCTTAATGACAATTTGTCTTGCTTATCAATATTAAATAACTTTTTCGCAAGAATAATATCTCGCAAAAGATAATTGTTCTGCAGTGCTTTATCCTACAATTTTTGGATTTTCAAAATAGTAACTTATGTTTATTTACAAACAAATTAATCAAAATCAATATGTTTCTAATGATGGTTTATTTGAAATTGTAGTTTTGTCTGTAAAAATACTAAGTCAAAAATTTCATAGGAGAAGCTCATAGGACGTTCGTGTCTAAGAGCATTTAAAGGGTCATCAGATGGACTTTAACTAGGGATGGGTATCGGCAAAAATTTCGTATCGTGATATATCACGATTTTTTCCCAAAAATATCACAATAAATCGTGATATTTTTACACACAATTTTTACTACAATTTCAAACGAATTTCCATAATATTCCTTGAAAACATGGTATAAAAACATAACTTCACTTTTTAAGTTTTCACTATTTCAATATAAAAGTGTTTTGATGCCGTTGTTTAACTGTTTTCATTTTTTTTTTACACTTCCTGTAATTGTCATTCAATAGTTTGAACAAATAAATCAATAATTTCCGGAATTTATAGTTATGTACCAAATACCGGTATTTTAGTCTCCGTATCAAGATACATGTATGTATCACGCAATAAAAAATCGCGATATACCGGTATACCGATAAAATCGCGCATACCTAACTTTAACTAAATCTTACCCTACTCTTTTTTTACATTGTACAGTACTAGTTGTGCTACAGTTATACCTTATGCTATCTATTCTTGTCAAAACTGTACAATATTGAGTAGGCCGTTTTAATTTAAAACAAGGAGATGAGCGAATAAGGCGAGCGAAATGCATATGGTGCCACAAATATGAAGATGAAAAATTAAATCTCAATTATATCAAAAAGTTCTTTGAAATTTCATCTAACATTAATGGATACTTTATGTGAATTGAAATCTCCACAACTTGCAAAAATGATGAAAAATCACACGAAGATTGAAATTATTTGTGTATGAAATGGCATACACACACCAAATAGGGCAAAACGATCATTTTCTCACATTATTTTTTTTTAAAGGTCTATCCCCAACATTCGTATCCGAAAAATACCTAAGTCCATTTAGTCAAGGGTCACGATTTAAAGGCCAATATTTATCAGGTGCTGTGTATGCGTAGTGGTTTATACGGAAGCCGGTTGGTGCCAGGTAGAAAACATATTTTATCTGGCGGCCGCCAAATAATTATCTGGCGGCCGCCACATAAATAACTGGCGACTGCCAAATAATTTTCTGGCGGCCGCCAGATAACTTAAGCGGCCGCCAGAAAAGTTATCTGGCGGCCGCCAGAAAATTATTTGGCGACCGCCAGGATAATTATTTGGCGGCCGCCTGATAAAATATTTTTCTACCTGGCACCTACCGGCTTCCGTAGGTTTACGTGCAAGTCTCAAACTTAAGGAAAATATACTCAGAATTTGTATTACCAGGTCTTGAACCCTAAGCATGCCACACTAATTATTAGAAAAAAGTTGAGAGTTTACTTTAAGATATTTTTGCTTTAATGCTAATAATTTTCCAAAAGAAATCCAATTTGTAATTGAAAATGCATACAATTTCAGCATACCATGCGGAAAGAAACTTGACAGGAATGCCATATATATTGAAAATTTCAAATTATGAAAGAATGGTTACCGAAGGTTTTTACATTAATTTACCCTATAAAGAGTAATCACTCTTATCAGTTGGTCAGTGAACCTGAATATGTTTTTTAAGTCTGAATGCAGCCCCCTTTATATGAAAGGAAAATTGCCATGTTGACTACCATTTACGGTGGATCGAAACTGCAAGTGCGCTTGCGTAATTTGGAATTCTGGGAAAATGATGTACACGACTTGTTATAAAGAAACTCGTACTATTTGCTCCAACCAGAGGGCGTGCTTCTTCACGCACACTTTCTGAACAAAGACACGACCTCAATATATCTATAGACTGCATTGTTCTTTGTCCTTCTCAACATAGATTGTACTAAGCTGGAAATATGATACTATGAAAAATTTCAGTGCTTCTTTTAAAGATGAGAAGTTTATACATGTATGTAGAGCACATTTTTAATACTTCATACAGTATATATAACTTCAGTCGCCGTTGCAAGTTCACGGTTATGTGTGTATTCCTCTGGATGCCATCTATCAATACCTTGCATAAGACATGTGCAGGTCGGATTTCACATAATAATTCACTTGCCACAAAGGTCCCAAAACAGTGATAATCTCTTTAATATTGAAAGTTATGAAAACATCAGACACACTACATTCTTATAATTTACATGATGATAGACGTGTAAGTGCCGCTTGTGCACGTGAACAGCGACTACAGATGAGAAACTGACCACAGTAGAACTGCGATAGTTGAGAGAAAATGCGCGGATTTATAATAGACAGCCCCACCCCCCCACCCCCATCAGAGAGAGTAAGCGAGATGGAATCCAATATGTTAAATCTAGTTTTGCTTTGATGATAGGCATCATCAGTT